TTTTGCAAAGCGGATCTTATCAATGTTAGCAAGCGTTGCTTCACTTGCAGTAGTCGGTAAATCCGGAATTTTGAAACTGGTTGATTTTGCTTGCTCCAATATGCTGCAAATATAACAAATTATACTGTAATGCTTCTAAAACAGTTTACTGTAATTTAGTATAGGAGAGAATTAGTACTAGAAACCAGCTTAAATCATTGCGAAAGAAAGCAATACTCAGTTAATTTTAATTTTCAATTTCCCATACTTTCTTCTATACTCATTTGATATTCGAAATTTTTATTCTATTTTTCATTTTATATTATATTATTTTCAGTAGTATTGAATTCACTTGATTGAACAAATATTGAATAAATAAATGACTTTCGTACATCGAATAAACAAAGTACAGTAGTAAAGAATTGATAAACATTAGCGGAAATGGAAAAAGGTATTTTAAAAAAAAAAAATTAATACTTATTAGCGCAAGCTCGTCCAAACACAACAGCATCAAGAAGGGAATTAGCGCCAAGTCGATTAGCACCATGTACCGAATGCGCCGCGGTCTCACCACATGCAAATAATCCCGACACCAACTGCATATTATATAACTGATGGTTCTTTTTTTTTCCTTCTTTTATCACAACTTTGTTATTTATTTGAAATTAATTATAATTTATTCACAATTGTCTTTTTTCAATTATCTTTTCAAACTTTTTAAGAGTCCCCAATTGTATCCAATTTGTGATAAGCATTCATCCAATCGCTTTTTGTTCTCTTCCTTTTTCTTTAAAATTTTAAAATATTTCGTCTGAGAAATGTCATTGAAATTTGATAAAGTGAAGGCTTACTCGATCACCTCCACTACTTGAAAAGGTTATCACTTGTCCTTTGTAGTCAGTTGGTATTCCACCCATATTGTAATGAACCGTTGGAATTACAGGTATTGGCTCTTTGGTCGCATCAACACCAGCGAAAATCTTGGCCGTTTCTAATATCCCTGTCAATAAACGAGTGAAAAATAAATTCAATTTTTATATTTTTTTATAAAATATTATTTCATATTATTTAACTGTTCTACCATTTTAAATAAAGTTTTTAAAAAAGGAGTTTACTTTCAATTTTTCAGAACATTTATTTTTATTCGTTTTACTTGATTAGTTGAGTTATCGATTCTATATATAAACCTGGTAATTTATTATGTAAATGATCTGGAGGAATATGATGAAGTTGCAGATGTAGATGGTCATTTTCTTTGCCAACTCCACGACCTTCAATTATTTCAATGGTCATTGCTCTGCTCACAACATCTCGAGATGCTAAATCTAATGCTTTTGGAGCATACTTTTCCATGAATCGTTCACCTTTATTATTTACCAAATAGCCTCCTTCTCCTATAATTATTCTAGCATTGAAATAATTTTCATTTATAAAAAGTTTAGTCAAAAATGAGTATTAATACATTTGTTTATTAATTATTATGATGATATTACTGCGATTTTTATTGTTTAGAAAAATTTGCATTAATTATTGCTCAAACTTTGGAAAAAATTTGTCTGAAAGAAAAGTTAGCAAAAGATTGACGAAAAGAAGGAAAAATTGCCACCAATTAGTTACCTCGTGATCCTTCCGTGATCAGACAACCAATACCGTAAATACCAGTTGGATGAAATTGGATAAATTCCATATCGGTTGTTTGTAGACCGGCACGAATGACCATTGCATTACCATCACCAGTACTACTATGTGCTGTAGTACAGCTAAAGTAAGCTCGACCAAAGCCGCCCGTTGCTAAGATGGTAAATGGTGCCCTATGAATATTTCATTATATTTTTCTGAACTATCCTTGTCTGACAACATAACAACACAGTGTTTACTATATAAACGAACAATTAATATAAAAATAAAAAACTTGCTTGAAACGATGAAATGTTCCGTCTTCAAGATTCATCGCAATTACTCCAACACATCTTTCTCCAATCATAAGAAGATCAAGCGCAAAAAATTCAATATAATAATTACAATGAAATTGTAACGATGCACCATAAAGTGTATGAAGCATCGAATGACCGGTACGATCTGCTACAGCGCATGTACTACAAAACATATTCCATTCAACTTATCGATATTTGTAAATGATCAGTAATATCGATGACTGTATCATTATTTCGATAAATAAATAGTATATAAAAAGTTAGGTAGAAATATTTATGCTAAGACAAAGTAAAAATAAGATATTTCCAAAAATATTTCAATTGATATCATTTCAATAAAAGATTTTTTGGAATTATCTTTTTGTTCAGAAAGTTTGAAGGATAATTTAATTTAATTTGAATTTAATTTCGTAATGATAATTTAATTTAATTTCATATTATGCGAAATCGTTGAAGTATTTTTTCTTAAGAAATAAGTTCAAATATTTTTGGCAGTATGAAAAAGATTCTACAAACCGTTTAGCAACTCCGCCTTTCCCATAATTATTAGTTTGCCCACCAAATGAACGTTGATAAATTTTCCCTTCAGCTGTTCTCGAGAATGGCATTCCATAGTTTTCTAATTCAATTACTGCTCGAATGGCATCCTTTGTTAAATAATGTATGGCATTTTGATCACCCAACCAATCACTTCCTGTATTTCACCTTATACTTCTTATTTCAATGAGGGAACTATTTAAGAATATGTTTTTGAGGAGAATGTTTTCATTAAATTATTAGTATCTGTCATAACGTCAAGAGTTATATGTGAAAATAAATTGCTTAAATGTTACAGCACAATTTTGCAAAGCCGAAAAACTAAATTAAAACCTTACATATTTTGCTGTTGCAGAATCATAATAGCTTCTTATTTTAAAACAATAAAAAAAAAAAATGCATGAAGTAAATGACCTTTCACAGTATCGTAAAAATGCCAGTGCCAGTTATCCGGATTCATGCTACCGATTGCTGCATTAATGCCTCCTTGTGCGGCTACAGTATGCGATCTTGTTGGAAATAGTTTCGTTATCACCGCCACCCTTAAACCACCTTCACCAAGACGTGCTGCTGCTCGCAGACCTGCTCCACCTAAATTAAACGAACTATTATTGAAATTTGCATATGAAAATAATTATGGTTTCTTATGATGCAAAACATAAATGTAAAAGATAACATTTCTTAGAATAAAAAAATTTTTAATGAAAAATTACAATTCATCTATCTTAAAAGCTGAAGCAGAATTATAATAAAAAATGAAGTAGAATTAATAATAAGCAAACCTAATATTACTACTGGACCTTTTACTACATTCTTATCAGTTAATAATGAACAGATGATAAGGATAACAATAATAAAACAAACAAATCTCATCAAATGCAATTAATTTCCTAATTAATAATTAGCTTACAAAGTATATTTATTGAATAAACTTATTGTTATTATTACTATATCTCTTTACCATATTGTTATCATATATCAATGAGTAAGGATTAGATGACGTTTTGTTTGCTAACCATTACTTAACTCATCAAATGTTAGTAGAATATATGACAATTTAATCGAATGATATTTTAGATATTATTATAAGTTAATTTACTCCCAAAATTATATCACAAACCAGCTCCAACAACAATCGCATCGTAAGTGTGATCGATAATAGTATAATTTGCGATACATGTTATTTTCATGCGACAGCTTATTAATATCAAATTATTCCGAATACTTGTTTGATTCAGCAAAGATCGCGCCATACATAGCATTCCCATCCTTTGAAAAAAAATTTTCTGATACTTTAAAAGTATAAAATTTATTTTAAAAACAAATATATCTTGGCATTAAAATTTGCCGAAGATAAATTGAAATAAACATTTACCGGAACATATTGCACCACCTTGTTTAATTCCATTAAAGCGCAGAATAACTCTGAGCAGCAATTTATACTTCTTTGCAAAATTTTGCATAAAACATCTTTGACAAAATTTGCATAAAAACAATCAATGCGTATTGGTATGTTAGATACGGCGTCCTAATTTTGTTTATTCTGCGGTTTTCTTTTTTCTTCTTAATTTTATTTATTATACGATATTTTTCGTACTTTGAAGTTCGAAGTTTTGATCAAATCATAGTTTTACATCGATGAATTGTTACTGTCATAAGTGGAATATTTCAGGTCGCCGATTATAATTATAATGTCATTGTTTTGAAGTGAACGCAAATGCAGGCACATTAATTTATTGAATTCGTCGAATAAAATAATTCAATACAATTGACGAACCATTCATTTTGATACAAATACCCGCTTATATGAGATGTTCATTTAGAAAGCAAGGAAAAATGACAATAAATTCTATAATTACTATTAACCAAATAAATACAAACAGCATTTGAATAAATATACACAATTATTTAATTACTCATAATCGCTAGACAGTAACAGATGAGAAATGATAATCATTTATCATTTGCTGTTCGTGAAATTAATGTAGAAATACGTGTACGAAAGAAATTAAGTTAGAATATAATTAATTAATTAAAACGTATAAAAGTCTAAAAATCAGCAATATTCAAACAAAGATTATTATTTTCTTTTCTTTGTTTGTTATGAATTTTGTAAGTTAAGGGATTTACATCGGTTTTTGAAATTTTTTGATATTTCAACCATCAAATTTCTCCAAAATTGTATTTCACATGAACAAAAGATTGCCAAAATTTCCAAACTGCTTTCATTGTCAGTTTAGTTAATGGCTAGTAATACAAATTAATAAATTTGTCGTAACAAAAGAAAGCTGATAAATTTCTCTTAAAAAAGGGAACTGATAAATTTGTCGCAAAATAAAAGAAAGCGAAGTATGGGTGTACAGTGAGAGATTTAGTTCATTACATAAGATTTTTATCAAATAAAATCTAATTAAAATACCTAACAACAATGATTAAACCTAAAAAGTTTAGTGCACCTTTTTTCGCCTCTTTACTATCAATTATGAATAGGCAAAAAAGTGGAATTAAGTTAAGATAGTACAATTGATCCTAAGAGATGTGAGCAGTGTTTCAGCAAGATATACTTGTGAAGTTATCGTTTCGGAATGCGCTATCGATGTTAGTATCAGCCTTCCTTGATTCAGATGACTGTTTAAGTTTCGGGATTGCCCATGGTTGCAGATCAGCGGAACCCCAAAGTGTAAAAAATATCGCAGGTAAGAAAGCAACAACTGCTGATATCGTATACAAAAGTTTCCATTGACCGGCAGAACCGGACCACGAATGTAGAATCAATCCATTTGTGAGTTTATTCACAATGCTTAAATTGCTTACAGATAAATCAAAAGATAATTTTACAAAAAAAATAAATAAATAAATCAGTCATGAAACTTATCATATTCGATGCTTACTAATATTTGTTAAATTAATGATCGTAAGTGCACCATAACATGGACTAGACGTCTCGGATTAATGTTCAGGATATAGTCTTAATTGAGGAGATTTAGGTAAGTCTGGTTTCTTCGTAATATAATATTAATCGTTAATATCAGCTCATTTGTTATGAAAAATTTAGATATCCTATTTGCTAATCAATTTCAAATTTACTATCCTTCAACTGAAAAGCAAATAAAACGAACCAGCATAAAAAAGTATTTGCTGATAAGTTGAAAGTTTCGTAAAGGTTAAACTAACAACTAACTTAGCTATATGTCCAGCAGAAAAAGCAATGCCTGTGATTGAGCCCGTATATGCCGGACCAATTTGTAGTAAAGCTGTAAATACACCAGGAGTATGCAAACCTGAAATTAATACTAATAATATGAAACCTGAAAGAATTCAAAAGATGAAAACTTCAATTTAAAAGATAAATTTATTTTTTTTTGTAAAATTACCTTTCAATTAATGATCTAATTGTTAATTATTTACCGCCATTGAAAACTACTGATTGTAAATCACACAATTAATGAATAATAACGATGAATTGTTTGATTTAATAAATTACCAGCAAATGCATTTGCAGCACAAACAACGATCAAAGCTGGAGTGCTATGTGTCAGTAACGGTATCATAAAGAGACCGATAGCAAGACCAACTGAGCCAATACCATTAAAAGACTTGACAAGGACTGTCCTTCCAATCGGACAGCATCCTTTCTTCCGAGCACTCAAATACGATGACAATGATGATGAGAGATTCTTACTGATCCATAGTGCTAATAACGGTAATGCCGAATATAAGGTACTACGAACATCCGATAAATGAAGCACTTCTTTCATATAAATTGGTAGTAACTAAAATTATCGTAATTAATGATTAATTTGATATCTTAATTTGGTATGATTAATTTGATGTGATTTTTGATATGATTAATTTGATATGAATTTGTTTAATTTGATAACTTTATAAAATAATTTTGTTCAGTGCTAACAATTCACTAAAGCAAAAAAAAGCGGTGGAAATTTCTTATTTTTTTTTATTCATAAATACTTATTGTTGTACTAAGTTTTAATTATAATTAAATATTTTCCACTTACTGTTGTAGTGATAACAAGCGGATACTCTTGACAAACTACCGCTAATATTCCCACAATAAATGGACGAGATATTAGCAATTCCTTCCATGGCGTATTTTTTCGTTCTTTTCTCTAATAAAATGATAAATTTATTAAAGTATATTTGTCGAAATGCATAATTTTAATATTTTAAATTTTAAAATACAAAAGTTTAATCATTTTTTTCTCTTTTTTAATATATAAAATTTACAATTTCTTTTTTGGAATCATATATGATTATCCAAAAATGATAGGCACTATTTTTTGATGTCAATACTAAATTCTGTTTAGTAATTAATTAAGAAAAATTAAAACTGAAGCAACAATAATTAAAATAATATCATTAATAACACTAACTTTCATTCGTCAGTAATTATTAAATTAACAAATATTTCATTGATTAAAATTCAGATAGTAATATTAAACGATCATTTTATCTTTTTGAATTGATGAAAAATGATTTCTAATTTATTTTATGGTATATAAATAATAAATCACTTTTCCCAATGATTCCTCGTTAATTTTCCTTAAAATATACATTTTTTCCTCATTTTTCACACAATAATGCTTCGATGGTTTATCAGCTGACATAACCAACCATACAAATAACATTACTGCAGCAATAACTGCCGAAATGTAAAATGTAAACTTCCAACCACCGAATGTATCCTTTTTAAGACAAACCCAACCTGATACTGGTAAAATTAATAAGCTTCCTGAAAAGATATATATAACAATTTCTTATCCTAATTAAAGCTAACTAAACAAAAACAAATATTTGAATTATTTCCAAAAAAAAGACAACAATAAAAATGCTTACGATATGAATTCTTTATACTTCATTTTAAATTTTGATATTTAATGATATATGAAAGATAATGAAATTGAAACCAATTTGTCGACCACCCGTAATAAATCCGACAGCAAACGACCGTTCTTTCGGTGGAAACCAACGGACAATCATAGAGCTAATTGATGGTGTAAGGAAAGCATCGGCTATTCCACAAAGAGTCCGAGCAATAATAGCAAAAAGAAAATGCTTTGCAGCAAGAAGAGGTAACATCATATCACTGATGATAGTGACAAATAGCGCCACGGCTACTGTCCATTTACCATTTAAGCGATCTGCTTGTGGACCGATTACTAACATAAAAAGAGAGCCAATATTTTGGGCACATAATATCATACCTGAAATAATAAGAAAGTGATAATTGCTGAAATTATTTTTGGAATTATAATTTTAATCATAACTTAGGAATAATTTAAGAATCGTGCAAGGTTTTGTACGATATAATAAAGCAATGAAAAAGGATAGTCAGAAGAAGAGAAACCTTGTTCAAGCATAGTCCAATTTAATCTTCCATCAACGTGACAGGATCGTATCTCAATGTAACCTTGATTAACATCGATATTTGGCTTTAAAAGACGTGCTGAATCAGGCCTATCATTAAATAACAATTTCATTTCGTTGTTTTGGACCAAGTTAGACGAACATGGTTGTGGAATTTGCCCAGAACCATTTATTTCTTCTTTCATACCATTTTCAAATCTGAAAAAAATGTTAGCATAAAATTAACTGCTATATAGTTACACCAAAATACTAAAATTTCAATCCAAAGATCAGAATCAGGTAACAGTATTGCTATGCATCATATAAATTATTTTAATTATTCTCATTATTTAAATATCACGTATCATTTATTTAAAGTCTTTGAAGTACATCAAAATTGCAATAAATATTATTTCAAATTAATTTACTCAGAGTTAATGAAAATATTTGCCTCTTTCCAATGACTTTCAATTGTATGGCCTATTTTTAATGAATGATTAAATTTAATAGTTCGTTTATCTCACTTTTTTAAATAATCATTTACTATCATTCTTTTCTTATTCGCCTTTTATTCCTTTTATCTTATTCCCTTTCCCTTTATCATTTCCTATATCTGATAACCGGTTTTAATTCCTTTAAAATGTTTATTATTCAAACAAAAATGAAAAAAAAAAAGAAAAGGTGCACTTTATCGGAATACTTTCTCATTAAATTAGCTAAGTGATGATAAGCGAATTTAAGCATGATTGATCCGTAATTGCTGATCAAATTCCTGTTTCAATTTCATCATCACAAATTATCAGATAAAGTTTTTGGAAGCTAAAAAAGGAAATGATTGAATGGAATCGAAAGATTAACCCGATCAAGCGCTCAATTGTGGTCCAGTTACAAGTTTACACATCCACCATCTAACAATCTATTAATTTCAATACACAATTTAAAAAATCCATTTCTAACGATTTAGGAAGTGTGAAATTGAAAAACTATAACATTTAAAATCTTACTTATATATCGAATAAATTGTTTTAGCAGTATTTGTTTTATATTTGCAAATTTATGCCAATAAATTATTAAATTAATAATTAAACAGAATTAATAAATAAATCGATTAACTAAAGAAAAAAAATACATTTAATTTAAAATAAATTTGCAAAAAAGATATGTAAAATTCTAAGCTATCATTAAATTAGAAAAAGAATTAAAATAACCGTTCATTTCGTGGATTAGCCATATTTTCATCATCTTTTACAACCATACAAACAAGGGAACCAGCAAGATTTGTTGTTGTCACTGATAATGCCATTAAGCATGATGACATCAATACAGCAATCATCATCCGCATCGTTAAAAAGTAGCCAAGTTTGTGGCAAATTGTAGCCTTCTTCCGTTCTTTCTCATATTTTATGCTATTTGGTAAAACTTCATGATTTTTAGTAAACTCTTCCACAGAGATATTTTTACTCACTACTTCACTTACTGTTGGTATTATTCGAACCATCCTAAATTTATTCGATGTTAGAAATTATTAATTTGGCAACGGAGTAAGTGATATTATGATATAAGTGATGATAAGTGATATAGAATGACAATAAGTGATATGCCATCCTTTAAAGATTTTTCGCCATTTTAAACAAAGACACATGCAATTATTTTTTGCATAACCATTCATGGTTTCTCTTTTTTCTTGAAACATTATCGAAGAAAAGTTTTAAACTTTCATTTTATAAGAACTAATGAAAAATTCCTGATTACTTATTTTCCGGAACATTTGTATCCTTTTCTTTAGCTCATCTGCCCCCTAAACTTTGTTTATATTAAAAATCTTTTTTGCTAATTACTTAATTTCTCATAAAGTAAAAATTTGAAATTTTGTTAGACAGCTGTTGTTACTGGTATAATGATGTAGAAGTGCTGCAGCCAACAGGAACTAACTTCCTTTTTATAGTTGCTTAGCAAAGGTACATATGTTTGCTTAAGTCAATCGAAATTTTGGAATTGTGTAAATGAAGGAAGTATAGCTTCCGACTATTTTGTAAATTTTTCAACTAATAAACTTTTTAGAAGAGTGTGTAATAATTTTTTTGTCGCATTCTATTTTAACCATATATTATTATCATTGATAATCGTTAATGATTGAATGATAAGTTGCAAATTTAAATGGTCGAATAATTGAATCTCTTAAATGAAAGATATTGAATGATTAGATTTTACTAATTTCTCCATTTTGTCGGTTATTTAAATCATAAAGGATTGAGCTTTAATAAGTTATGACAGAATAGCGAAATAAATAAAAGTATGCTTTGTTTATTATGCATCATTTAATGAATGAATGAAATTTTGCTTTCCTTTAAAAATAATTTGATAATAATTGATTAATATAATTAATAATGCTAAGTAATTATAGTGGAAAAATTAAAAATTATGCCTATTTACTATTATGTCTATTATTACTACTACTATCGGGAAAATTTAACATTGTTAATTATATTGTACAAAATTTTAAGTTGAACATTCGTATGTGTATATTACAGGTATTAAAATTAATAATAGCTTTTTGTTCCCTTTTTTTCAAACGATTGTTGTAATATCAAACAAATGATGATCGAATCGATCTATCCAATATCAACACTACAGCTTATATAAAAGTAAATAAAACTATACTTTCTAAAAAAAAATCAGAAAATAAACATATATCAAACATAAATTACAATTTTTAGTTTTCAGTTGAAAACGTTGCATATATCATTTCTTTAAAAAGAAACTTATTTATGCAACTTTAATTACTCTTTCCTTAAAAACAAAGAAAGGTTAAAATTAATGAATGGATAAAAGGGAATAAGGAATAGAATATAAAATTCTTTTTGAAAATGAAATTTGATTTGAACAAAAAAATAGCATAGTTTTAATAAGAAAGAAAATTAAAAATAAAATACGAAAAAACTTTGTTGAATTTTCGTTTATAATTTCCATCAAATTTCCACACATAAGCAATTGTTGAAGACAGCAAAATCATATTCATATTTCATTTTGTTGTATAAAATCTTTGAAATGAATCATTTTTTGTTACCTTTGAAACAATGGCATATTTTCTAAATGTGATCGTTAATTTCTGAAGCATTAGATCCCAATTTGTATAAACATTATAATGTCTGTGTGTGTGTGTGTGTGTGTGTGTGTGACAAAAAAGTTTTTCGGATTGGTAAACAAAACAATAATACATTTAATTAATATTAAATTGTATAAGTTTGTATTTAATTTAATTATTGCTTCATTTCTTTTTCTGTTTTCAAATTTTTAAATAGTTTTTTTTATTGTTATAATAATAACAGTAATAATAATAATAATAATAATAATAATAATAATAATAATAATAAATGAATGAATGATATATTCTTCTGAATCAAACATTAATTAAATATTTACTTAGCAATACATGAGTGTTGTAATATTAAAACCAATCAAAAAGTATATTCTTATTTCTACCACTGCTTCGTTGTTTTTTTTTAATTCTTCAAATATATTTTATCGTTGATAGTTTGCATAATGAATCACAGAATTGTAAGTATTACATTACTGTTGTTGCAAAAGATATGTTGGGAATCAAATTTTTTCCAAATTGATAATATTCAAAATATATCATACAATAATAATATATAATATGAACATATATAAATCAATAGCAAAAGAGTATCAAATTAATCAGTGCATTGATATGTTTACTGATAGTGAAAATAATCAAAGTAATTTTAACTTTTGATTTGTAAGGATGAAAAAGAGAAGAGAAGAGAAAAGAAAATGAAAAAACTTTTAGCATCAAAAAGTTTAGTGAAAATGAAATTGCTTTAAACGAAATGAGTCAAAATGAACAAATATGCTAAAATAGGAAGACATAAAATAAATGAAACATTTTATTAATTTGTCTCTAACATCTGTAGAATAATTATTGACAGCCGATAAAAAAATTCGAGCAAAGTAAAATAAAATAAAGGAAAGAAGTTAAATGACACCATTATATTATATTATGGCGAATGGAGAAGAAGTGATAGTAAGAATATGTTAAGATTGATAGATAAATGATTGAATGAAAACAAGCTTTTCAGAAGATATCAAAAAGAAATCCATCCATCGAACATTGATGAATTAAATGAAGTTGCACAGAGTGAAAGGAAAGAGAGAATATTCCAAATAAGTTCTGCTTCAAATAACACAAAACTTGACTTCATTGCTTAAAGGGTGGTAAAAAGCGGATAAAACGAAAAGAAGCGAAATAAGAGAGAGCTCGAAAAGGAAATGATAATCAAATGACATGTAAATAAGCAATTTCCGGATTTAATTAACCGGTAATCCCGATATACAATTAACAAAGTGATACATTTGCTGATTTATTTTATTTCTAATAATCATTTTTTGAAATGAATCTAAAATTTTCATCTATTAAAAGTCCAAAACCAGTCCATATTCGATAAATTTTATAACCCCTACTACTGCTATTTTTAATAATTACTTCCATTATTATACATCACATTCTTATCACTATATTCCTTGTTCAGATTGCTTGTTATTAAACAAGTACTTCATATCTTATTAATAATCCTTATCAAACATAAAAGATATTTATTTGAAAATGAATTAACCTTTAATACTATTAGCAATTAGCAAAAATCATTTTCATATACGGTTAAATGAATAGAATTTATAGTAGTATATTTTAATGACAACATAACAATAACATAGGAATAATATTATATCACATTATTAATTATCATTAATTGTTCTAATATTGGTACTTTCAATATTACTAGAAAGCGTTGTATAACAAATTTATTTATCTTAAATAATTAAGAATTACTAATTGCAATATCAATTTTGATGATAGTTAATAATAATGTGATATATGAGATTTTCAAAATGTTTTTCTCAATATATTCTTAATTTTCTAATTAATAAATGAAAATAAAATTAGTGAAAATTTGGTCAAAATAAAAGAAATTTGTAGTTTTTATGGCAAAGAAAGTTAAATATATTTATTATATAACAAATTGTATTTCGTCGCTTTTCTTTTTCATAAATAATATTGAAATTACAAAGTTTTGTTTTTATTTAATTAAATTTTAATTTAATTTTATTTTTGGTAAAATATAAAATGTAATCAATAAGGCTATAAAATAATATTAATATAATAGAAATAAATGAATGTCTGAAAAATTTTGGAGACAGTCAGTGTAAACATAAAAAACTTTAAAAATACATTTAGCAATGGAAAAGTATGCAAAAACAAACTTTACATAGAAAATAATCTCATCATTAAAGATTTAGCCAATTGTAATCAGTAAAAAATTACTGATAAGCTTTAACTGAAATAATATTCGTCGTTTATCAAAAGATAAACAAATAATATTTGTCATTAAAAAGCATTAATAATTAAAAATTAATTGTTCAGAAAACAAAAGTAATCACTAAAAAAAAGCATAAATTATTCAAAAACAATCATTCTGAAGCATAAAATAATTAAAAATTATAAACTTTTGTTTGAATAATCGAAATGCTTTTTCTCTTCTCTCTCACACTTTCAACAGAATATTTCAAAATAAAGAAAGGCAAAAGATTGTAACCGGAATTCTTATCTAATATTTTAAATGAAGATTTCGAAATCAGGACATTTAAAATAATTCTACTACATCATTGGAAGAATTTATAATAAGTAAATACTATGAGAATAAGTGTTGTTAGAATATTAAGTAAATAAATAGAAGCTGTCTAATTTACAGAGGAAAACTAGACAGTATAGCTTATTCTATTTGAAATTAGCTTCCTTTTTCAGCTATGTCATTTTTTTCTTCAAAAATTTATCGCCCGAATTGTAATTAAGTTCAATCATTGACCTTTTCTGTACTACAATAACTCTCAATGATCTTTGAAACCCAACATCAATTATGAAATCATTCCATTTAATTACTTAATTGATTGAATCGAGTGTACATTAAAATTTTTAGCAGAAAATAACTTGTCAACACCCCTTATTTAATAATGCTTAAAAATTTCGACATAATATTTTTCTTTACTTTTACAACCATCATAATTACTATTATAAATGATCAAATGAAATACTAATAGACATATTTTAATGTTAGCCGTGCCATCCAAATATACTTATACAATCTATAAAAAATTAAATTCCAAATTAAACTTTAATTAAAATAAGAAATCAAATACTCTATTGAATATAATATATATGCATATTAAAAAAAATGAAAATTAGATCTAATTTAATATGTTTTATATAAATTTGTGGAAGGATGTATGAAAATTCCAAGGTTAACCACTAAATTTATATTACGGAGTTAATGAATGTTTGCACACATTGAGCTGACTGTCCGAACCAATTCATCGTTTTTTTTCTTAAATTAATGAACAAAAATCTATTGAAATATATATTTGTCAATATTAATGAGCATAATTAAATCGAAAAATAAAAGAATGATTAATTAACCGATATATGAATATATATAGTATTTAATAAAAATGGAACAATTGTTGCATTTATGAGATAAGAAAGAAGATTGGAATAGTTTTAGAAAAAGTTTTTTGATTCGTCGAAAGTTAAAAACTTTAACAACTTACAATATGTGCCGTTAATTAGCAAATTTTATTAAATTTATTGTTTATAAATGTATTGGAAAAATGATATCTCAATAAGTACTTAATTGAAATATAAATTTATAATTTATATGCAAAGGAAAATGAATTAATTATTCTTAATTTCAAATTATTCTAAATTTATTTCGAAAGTTTAACATTATCAGTAAATGCAACAAATCGCCATCATTTATAAAATATAGCAATGGAAAAAGCGAAATGAATTATTGAATTCCTTTAGATATTTCGTTTAGTTCAAATTAGCAAAAATTTGATTTTAGTAATTGTCTTTAAATTATCATTATTAAAACATTCAGTTAATTAGTATTTTGTTAGGAAAAATTTCAACTTATTTTAATTACAGGTAAATATCTTACCTTTTCTTTTTCTTACTCTTTCATTTCACTCTTCGCTGTTTACATTTCTTAGAAAAAATTGAAATTTAATACCCTTTGGTATGTTTTACGGAAAGTTTCAACATTTTTCTCTGAAATCTTTCGATCTTTGTCCTCTCCATATAATTTACATTACGTTAAAATCATTTAATTAAACAATTATTGGAAGCCGTAATTGTAAAATGGAAAATCTCTCAATTTCTTTCATTTACACCGACGACATCTGTCACTTATCAAAATTTAGCCAAAGTTTTTCAAACGAAGAAAAAAAACATTACATATTGTAAATATTTTTTTTGCAAATTATTTAATGAACTAAATTAATTACATTTAGTTAAAAGAATAGAAACAAATGAAATTCTTTTATGAAATGTAGTAAAGAGCTAAGTGCAATTGTGTTAGCTGGTAGGAATAGAAGAATTTTTAAAAGGTGAAATTATTAATTTTACAAACTTTTAACAATTTAAAATTAAGCGTTTAATTATATTTTGAAACAATGATATTAGTGCAAAAAAAATTTAATCAAAAATTTCGAAAATTCCAGCAGTTTATGTAAATTTTTTAATTCATATTATTAGTTTAGTTTTACTTTCTTTACATTTCGTTGTTATAATTTGAAGAATAATATGAGTAAGTAAAAAAGAATATTTATTGAACGAATAGAAAATAAATAAGCAAAGATTGTGTAATAACAATTAGTACAATAATTATTCGTTCAAATAAATTTAAATCAATCATTTGAAATTGTAATTAGAGAACGAAGAAAACAAAATCAATGTTCAATAAACAATTATTCGAAAACTCGTAAATTCAAAAATTTATCATTCTTTAATAATTGTCCATTTTTTGCACTTTACAAATTAGTTTCAATATAAGGAACGATAGAATGTGTTCAGTGTTTTGTAATTTGAAGCAAATGTAAAGTTTGATTACTTTAAATTATTCATTTCAATAACTGATATGATAAGATGCCTATGCTCAATTAATAAAACAATGCGTATAAATTCTTATTAATTATTCTTTCCATTTTTGTTTTTCTCGAATAAAGCGATAGGTATTTAAAAAGTAATGCTTAGGCCAAAAAACAAAAATAACTTTTAGTATTTTTAAGAATGACAGACCCGAAGCGCTAATTAACATAAGCCGCATGACTTGCGACAATTTTCATTCATCCAACTGTTATGGGTGCATAATTGTTTCAATGCCCAAAGACCACAATAAACGTTTACATCGACGCATCCTAAAATGACAAAAATTTTTTCCTATCTCTTAATTAATTATTGATTATGAATAATATTTAGAAATAGATATTGATTCCTCGGATATAATTAGATACCATTATTCTTTCTTAATTGTACTCATATCCATATTGCAAACTAACCTTTACTGCAATACATAACTGTTAGTAATTCAACATCTTTGTCGCTTAAAGCTTTTCGTTGACCCATGACCTGAAATCATTTTGAAGAACAATTTTATAAAAAAAGAAATTGAATTTGTTAGCTTGATAAACTACAACTCGATTAAACTTTAATAAAATACCAATTTATTTACTTTAAGAAATCGTTCACTCTGATATCTCGGTACAATAGTTGGCTTCTTTGAATTAACTGCTCCAACATACGGTCCATAATGCATGATACTGTAGTAGTCGTAGCTCACACCATAACTGTAACCTTTTCATTCTTACAGTATTTTTGTAATTCTTTAAAAATTCTAAAATGTTCCAATCAAACTTTTTTCCTTCTTCTTCATCCTTCAGTATATCATATAAGTAATGAAATGGTTCAACCTTGTAAATTTCTTCAAATCCAAAACAGCAAAATAGTCGTATAATTTTGGATTGATATTTTCCCATTTAACAATAATATAATCGTCACGATCCGAACGTAATTGTTGATGGTTTACACCCAATGCGTGTAATGTTTCATGGATTATTATACCAAAACTCTAAAAACGTTGTAATTGTAAATTATATATGAATTTCGGCAATATAACTGATGTTATTATTAATTCTAATAAAGATCAGTGGTAATTTATATGTCTAAGTTAATTAATATTTTTATTTAAGCGTAGGAAATTAATTAATCAATAATTTATTTAAATGTTAATCATAAATTAGCCTTTTAACGATTGTTTATCGTACAGTAATTAGTTAGGCTAGGCCTTATAATATAAATTAATTTATGTTCTGAAACAATAATTAATTAGCAGTTATATAAATTTTTAATATGCTAATTTTTTAGAACTAAATGTAAATTAGTGAATTGTATCGATTAGAACTTATTTTCATAAAATGCAATATTTAGCCAAATTTTTATTCTAATAAAATTAGCAATCTTTGAGGAAAATGAAATAAGATTTTAAAATATATATTAAAAAGATATGTATATGAAATTAAATATGAATTTCTTTCATTTGTGAATTATGCATTTACGATATGTGTCATCCCCGTGTTATGTGAAAGTTTACCTTTTCGCAAGTAAAACTCAAATAGATCGGATTGAAGCCTTCTACTCGACCGATATAGCTCAAACCACAACTGAAAAGTTTTATATCAAAATCAACTGTTATTTTTTTCAGGAAGAATTGAAGAGTGTACGATACCTTCAAGGCCACCGCTATATTTGTCGCAAAAACATTACGCAAAGTTCCCTGCTGAATGGCAGTGAACACTTTCAAAATTAAACTTACAGAAAAATGGCAATTAAAAATGTTAGTTGTAAAGAAACTGCTGGACAATTTATCAAATGGTTTTAGCGATACTTCAAAAAGAGAGAAAAATTACTTACATATCTGACTGAGGGATTTTAACATAAAATAAATGTGATTCATTTGGTTGTGTATCAACAAGTTCAAATTTTATGCATGTTTGTGATCCAATTTCATCTAATGCTTTCATTATTAACTCTCTTTCATTTTGTTCTGTAATATTTCCCCACTAAAATGACAGATAAAACAAAACATGAAAATTAAATTATATCATAATTTTTTTCACATTATCCAATTATTATAATTAATTATTAAATTTTGTTACGTTCAATTTCTATTATAAATATTTATTAATTATACAAAACAGATTAATTATATTGAGAAAAGAAGGAAGAGATTGATATAACGATGAAAATTTGGATAAATTTGATTGTTAATTTATTTACTAACCAAAAGATAAATCTAAAATATATTTTATCGGTTTAGTAATATTCCATTTCTCCTTTGGTAAATCATCCAAAAACAATGATTGCCGCTTTTTTCGTACTTCTGGATTATTAATTGAATTAATTAAATAATTGGATTGCTGTACAGTTAGTAGTATGTCATCTTGAAAAGTTCCATCATCCGCTGGTACTACCTGGAATACCAATGCAAATTTTATCAGAAATAAACACTGCTTATATGATCAAAACTTTTACTATTAATTAATATGGATCATAGAGTAACATGAGGATTGCGCAATAAGATAAAAGCGCTTCGGTAATATCATTCTAATAGGCTAAGGTTTTTTTCCTTAATTTAATAGAGGAAAAGATTTTTAGCATTAGTTAGAGATAAATATAAGTAATAAAATTTGTTATGTTATGGTAAACAAACGGCGTCAAAAATGCCAGCAAATTGTAGCAAAGAATTCTTCACTTGTTGTGTTCGCATAAGTTTCAATTGGATGCGATCTTCGAAATTATCGGCACTTGTCACAGCAACTCTTAAATAGTCTATCAAAATAAACTTCTTTAACTAAAAAGAGCCAAGTTGCATAAATACCAAGTTTATTTGAAAGAATTATCAGGAATGCTATGTGATTTTACGTGGCAGCCTAAGCGTATTCTGATGTTCTTGAAGTCTTGAAGTTTGATCAATATATTTTAATCATTCATTCGTTAAGTGAGCTTATCGGAAAAGGAAATTTTTTATAACAATTAGACATAATGATTAATTAAGACAATGGTTTCCGAAGTGTATTGGCCAAATTCTGGGCCAGAATTCGAAAGTTCATTATCTTTAAAAAAGGGGAAAATATTGAACTTTTTTGCAAGGTCCATTTCAAGGGCAGCAATTTGTTCACGTTTTATTGTCCATTTTTCTTCTTGTTCTGAACATTTCACTTCATTTAGACAAGTTTTCTGAAAAATTTTCTTTCTTTCTTTTCCACATTTAATTTTACTCTATCCTATTATCTTAGTTTTGGAAACTGTTCAGAACATATATTTTCATCCAAAAAAAACCTACAATATCCAAAGTTAAATCAGAAAATAAGAAGATAAAGGAATCGGAAACGTATCGGAAATTGAAAAATGGAAAATATCAATACATTTGAATGATTAATAAAAAATTGCTATTTATATTATATGGAGAACTATTTATGTATATATATGTACATATAACAAACATATGTCAAACTAAAAGAATTCGACATTGACATACTAGAAGAGTTTCTCGATTTTCTTTTTTCAATTCTTGAAATGCAAACCGCGGAATGTCACTAATTAGACTAGTTGATACATTCTCGAATACATTGACTTGGGGTATTTCTGATACAGGTGGAAAATGACTCGTATTCTATAAATAACAAAAAATTTGAAACAACTTCAAAAATTGCGTTTACAAATTAAATAAAAATAGTTATTTGATTGTTCGAAAATTTTTCAAAGAGAACTTTTTTTCGGATTCGGATTTTTTGAGACAAATAAAATTTTCGTTTCTTTCAACTTATTTTTTTCTTGATCTTTTTGAAGAGAAATTTTCAAAATTTTCAAATTCCTCATAATATTTATACATTAATGTGAAAGTGTTATTTAAACCTTACTTTCTGCATGGGAATATTGACCGTTTGAACTGCCACCCATTCCTTTTTCCTGAATAAGCCAAAGTTTCCAGTTCATTTTATTAATGAAAAACTTGAAATGATCAATAATACCTATGCAGCTACAATTCAATGATAAATTATGTTTCTAATTCAAAATTTTTATAACAGGATTAAATTTAACCTGCACTTACTATGCCCCGGATATCTATAACAGAACATTTGTATTCGCCGAAACTCATGAGGTGGTATATGGTCAAATGGAATCTGGGTGAAACGTTCCATCAGAAAAGGAATATCATCAACATTCAAGAATGATGATGGCAGCAAAGAAGGCTGAGGTGGTAGACGTGGCGGTAATGGTGGTAGTGGTGGTAGCGATGGTGGAAGCGGTTGAAGCGGTGGTAATGGTGGTGGTAGTGGTAGTGATAGTGACTGCGGTAACAACGGTGATGCAAATGGTGGTGGTGGTGGTGGTGGCCATTTATAAATTCTCTCCAGTATGCTGTAAATAGTGGTGATACTGAGTGGTACTAGTTAGTGGCACTACTTACTGTATATGGATCATAACGGTAACGATAATGACAATGGTAATGGTGAC